CCATCTGAACCGGAAGATCTAGGCGAATGTTTCTCCTCGAAGTTGTGGTAGATGCGAGTCGTGTTTACTACAAGATCCGACCATGGCCGTCCATTGCTTGCCGTCCTGCATTGACTTCTGGTTGCCGAAATAATTCATTATTGAGGTCGCACTCATTAAACGTAAAGTGCTTGCCACAAATTAACCAAAATACCTTGCTAATCTCGTCCAGGATGATAAATCATTCAAGCGAACTTTGGTCATCCTCACAACAGCGTTTGGCTAGCTATCGAACAGAGGGTCACTGCATCTTATGCTTTCAGATGAGCTTCTGCAGCCATCTGGAACGCTCTGGAGTTATGCACTTTTAAATGTTTTAAAAACTCATTTATTGAGAACTGCTTTTGGTGTTTGGCTTATTGTCCTTCCGTCACACCTCCGATTAGCACGGTTGGCTACGTACGGTGCGAAAGAACTTCAACATACCTACATGCAAACACATGTCAAGCTCTGTGACAAACCAGACAATCGGGAGACGACCATGAAAGAGGTATCTCTTTCATAAATCAGTTTTTCAATATAAAATGTCAAGGCATCTTGACACAACCTACTGGTTTAGTACAAGCAACTTTTGGATTGGTTTTCACATACAATGTCTTATCAGCAGTCAGGATTTCTTGGAAAGGACCCTCTCTGTAAGATATGGGTTTTAGTTCGATGCAAAATTATCAACTGGACATCTGTGAAAAAGAGCTTTAAAGCTCGTTGGATTCCTCCAGTACAATATAAATATTTTGATTCTGATTCTGAATACATAACACGAAATAATCATTTGCGTTATTGTGAAGAAAACAAGCAACATTCTACACAACTCATCAGTCATTATTTCAGCAGTTTGGTTCAATAACACATTCCAGCGGAGGGAACTGGTAGGAACTTTGGGTTGCACGGTCAATGGCCAGGGTCAACGGCGGCGTGGTGTATTCCGCAAATATGGCCGACTGTGAGGGCGGGCACAAGCTGGCATGAGTAGGTTAAACGTTGAGTTTTATAAGGGCACCACGGGGTGACCAGCCCCTCCCCACCCAGCCCCATCCCTCCCACCCCCCACCCAGCCCCACCCTCCCCACCCAGCCCCTCCCCACCCTCCCCACCCAGCCCCTCCACAATGAACGGAACAATTGTATTGCATAATAAGCAAAGGTGATTCATGAGAAAAAAAGATATTGTTGTTTGTTGCACTTATCTTCAGAGAAAACGTAAAACATTGTATTCAGGAGCTGTCGAGGTGGCTAACAGGGCCCTAATATTTTCCAGGCACTACTAAGACACGGAGTTTGAACCTGGCCAACCATCCACAATTAAATTGGGTTCTCATGTGCAATTGTACGATGGTTTAAGCCTGGTCACCAAAAGCCACAAAAAAAAACATCTTACACTTAATTTTAAGTTAATTTGGGTTATTTTTGCTCTGGCAACTAAAACAATTTTGATTTGAAACTATAACATGTGAGATGTTGCAGTGTTCCTGGTCTAAATATACACAAACTGAAGGGACCTCAGCATTAGTGTTGTGTAGTTGAATTCCATAGGCCATTCCCAATACGTGGTGGTAGTGCACTAATAATTGTGAGATGAAATGTCGTTGTGTCACAACATGATGCAGATATTGCATTTGGGAAGTTGATAAAAAAATCATAAAAAATTGGGGAAAATACAAATTTAAATTATATTCGTAAATCAATGTTGCATGCTTACAACATCAATTATAATAGTCTGGTATAAAATAAATACAAACACTTTGCAATAAAATGTAGACATCACTCAACACAGACTCAACCAATGCCAAACAACTCTTGGGATTCCTCAGCCAATCTCGATGTGTGCACCGTGTGATGTTCACAGACATAAGAGCAAGCATAAGCACGCAAAACAACGTAATGACGCATAAAGCATCACCGGTTTCACCAGACCATACAAATTTTAGCAAAAAGAGGAGTGCTGTGAAGAGACATGTGAACAGAGATGGATGTGGGCTTCAATAGTTGTTGACATTGCACAAAAGTGCTTCTCATTTAAACACATTCCTGGGGAGGGAGCTGATAGGAACGTTGGGTTGTTCGGTCAATGGCCAGGGTCAACGGCGGCGTGGTGTATTCCGCAAATATGCCCGACTGTGAGGGCGGGCACAAGCCGGCGTGAGTAGGATAAACGTTGAGTTTTATAAGGGCACCACGGGGTGACCAGCCCCTCCCCACCCAGCCCCTCCCCACCCAGCCCCTCCCCACCCAGCCCCTCCCCACCCAGTCCCTCCCCACCCAGCTCCACCCTCCCCACCCAGCTCCACCCTCCCCACCCAGCCCCACCCTCCCCACCCAGCCCCTCCCCACCCTCCCCTCCCCACCCAGACCCTCCCTCCCCACCCAGCCCCTCCCTGCACGACAGACGGACGGACACAATGATCCCCTGTGGGCTGATGTAACCAGAAGGTTCCTACCAGTATGAATTCTGAAGGTGCTTGCTTAACGGCTCCACATAGGTCAAAAGGGGATTTGTGATAAGTTCATTTTTGGCAAATTCACAGTCAGGCAACCGTGGCTCATGCCGGTAAACCAGCACTTGTGCAGGCCGAGGGTTGGTGGATCGCACAAATGTTGTGAAACTCCCTTCCCGTGGGTGCCGAGGCACCATATATCTTGGTTTGCCAGAAGGCAGGAGAACAAGTGGACTCATCGGCATCTGCTTCCATATGTACTGAGATAAGCGTGTTGCCCCCTTGCATGTGTGGGTATTCTTCAGGTGTTCCCGATGTCCTCCCACACGTATAAACACTCATTAATTGGCCAAAAACATCTTAAAATAAAAACCCAATGCTGGATCCTCCTGAAAAAGATTCCTATGACCGAGTGTGGTTTTCTTGGATAAATAATTACATTATAATATTAGTCGCATTCTTAATTAAACAGGGAAAGACTATTTTACCTCCACTACTCTACAAGCTGAGACATGGGGTTATATGACCAGCACCATACAGCACTGCCAAACAAGCATTTGAGGCTTTCCAAGAGTAAATAAAGAACATGATTACGTTGTCTCCCCATTGCTGATGATTACAAACCACACGAGGTACTCATTAAGGCTGAGCAAACCTGGAGAGCCCCAAGAGACCTTCAGACCACACTTGCCACTCATGTGCAAGGACAGGAACCTCTCAGTTCAGCAGTGCACAAACCACTGCACCACACGCCCAAAGATCCTCCACTAAACTTCAGACTGAAAGCGAACACCTCTTATGGCAGGTATGGCACATGAGGCGGTGGTGTGCACGTGTTTCCAAAAGTGTTGCTGTGAAAACAACACACCAGTTACTCACTTAAGGCTCTCTCATCGAGACACAGACATACTATTTAGTCTCAGAAACTGATGGAAAAAGTGCTGTTAATAATCACCTCTTAATGGTGGCAAGGAAAACATCAGCACAAAGTCTATCTCATTGATCTCCCCCTGAAATCATGTTGAAATATCACACGAGGCACTCATCTTAAGCTGGGTCAACATTGGGCAAGGGTGCTACAGCCACTGTCACTGACTGGTGTGTAGCATAGCCACCGATATAACCCACATCACCAGGACCTTAGTACAGTGTGATAACTACCACTCCTCGGATTCCCAGGATACAAAGATCCTCCATATAGCCTTAACACTCTTTGGGGCAAGTGCTGTTAGCGAGCACCTATGAAGGCCGGCACAGCACATGAGGGGGTGGGTGGCCAGCACCACGCCCGACCGCTTTTGTCTCCCTAGTGACGATGTTTACACACCGCACCAAGTTCTCATTTCAGGCTGTGTCGACCTATGGGAGGCCCAGGACCGGTTCAGATAATCGTCACTGGTGGTGACCGCGAGCAGGAATTGAACTCGGGTTACCGGTTTCCTAGCGCAGAACGTTTACCGCTACACTGACGCTCCCAAGATACATATACACTTGCACAAGCATACTTGCATGTACTAATACATGTGATAAATACATGTAAAATGAATCCACAAAAACATAGGACCACATACATATACATATGTACAGCGTAAGCATGCAACACAAAATAAAAAAAACATGGACATAACCACACTGTACATATAAATATACAAACATGGCACCATGCAGGGCCAAAGATTCCGTGTTTCTTGTTGAGTGCTGTTAGCAGCCATTGGCACAATATGCATCCACTACACTCATAATGCTGCATATACATTCAAATTAAAATCCCTTTACAAGTTAAAGGGACGAGTATTATTAGGAAAATGCAGTTGGGGTTAAACTCAGGCCTTCATCACACATCTGGAATTGCTCAAATGAATGCAACTGTTGTCAAAGTCCTCAGTGGTCATCCTATCGAGTGATCACCACCATAGGAATGTAGAATTTCCACAAATAAAATGAGTGCTTCCCCAGTACTCACTTAAGCATGGAGTCTCTAGGCTATGTTTAAGGTTGGCAAGACATGTAAGAAAGTGTAATTGTTGGAACCACGCCTTGCCAAACCCTGTTCACAATATTGACACACCATATCCAATACTCCTGTTGACTGCGAGGAGGCTCAAACGAGATTCAGACACCAGTTGTCACTGGTTTTGTGCATGGCCAGGTACTTAAAACTGGGTTTGCCAAGAATGCACTGTGCACTAACCATACACCACTTATCAACACATACAAGTGATATTAATATATATTCTTTCATCATCTTAAGTGCTCTGCCTTCGGACAATTATTTGGCTCAACGCCCTGTAGCCCATGCGATCCCACGCTCTCCTCTTCACGTCAGAGTACCACGTTCCATCGTAGGTTTCTTGAGCCACAACTCAGGGAAAGGACAGTTGAGGTGGTTTCCCCCTTACCCTCAAGTGTCTTTTAGATGACAACACCACCACCAGATGCATTTGAACAAAGACACCCACATCAGTGCACATTACGGACAAAACCAAACGACCGACGGGAAACATCTTTCAAATTCGCTGCCTCTCACCCGACAGCCACCCGCTGCACCCTGTGCTTGGGTGGGATGATGATGTTCTCCCAGGCAGCCTGCACTTGCTCCACCAGGCGATGGTCGTCCGGCTGCTGGTCCTCAACGCCAACCGGCAGCAGCCCCCATGCTCCCCGAGCCAACAGCTGCTGCAGGTCAGCAGACAGCAGATAGGCCACCAGCGTAGCCAGTGCAGCCACCAGCGCCGCAGCTCGCCCCCACCCCATTGCCGCTGTTGGACTTGAATGCAACACCTTCAGCTCGCTCTGCAAGTGACCACACAGAGAGAATGAAATTGCCACATGCCCTGGAGTGAGCATATGAATGAAAAACCACAACTAGGATAGCACCCATGGAAATGTTTCTCTTGCAAAGAGGATGTCGGCAAACATGCAGCACAAAAAATGCAGCACAAAAAATAGGATTCATTATAAGGGTAAAATCATCAGATGGCACGGAAATGTAAGAATTTACATATGATGGGGACGTTTTTGTGTGTGCCCCCATTGTCAATCCACTATTGGAGGAAGACCTCCCCATGCCATGTCAGCCATGGGTGTGGTATTAACCATATTTCACCACTAACCAGTAATGTTAATTGTGGCCAGGCATTGAACTCAGGTCTCAGGCGATAGCCTTGTGAAGGATGTGAATATGAATTCCTGCAGTCACGAAAGTTTTAAGTCAAAACATAGCGTAGTGTGCAAAACTCTGTGCCACCATAGGAAAACAAGCAAATATTTTCGGGGATAAATAGAATGAGCATTTTAACATGTAGACTTTCGCAACCAATATCATCCATAATACAGTTTTTTTTGGGTTAGATCGCGTAAATGTGTCGTTAAACCCGCCCACCACCCGACACAGCCAATTAGTAAAGTTTGTCACGTAAACAGAACATGACAATTCGTTACGAACGAATATCAATTCGTTACTGACAATGGACACGAACAAAAAAACGAAAAACCAAATTGGTTACGAACAGAATTGTCATGTTCTGTTTACGTGACAAACCTTACTAATTGGCTGTGTCGGGTGGTGGCGGGTTTAACGACACTTTTATATATTTACGCGATCAAACCCAAAAAAACCTGTATTATGGAGACTAAGCATTGCACGTATTGCATGACTACAGCAGAGCTGTCCACGCTACGACCCTGGGGCCAAATGTGCGTGACACTTGCTCATGGGGAGTGCTCACTCAAGAATGTGCGTACAATGAGGTTACCAAAGGTGAGCATAATGATGTGGGTTAGAATGACTACGGTGGAAATACATGCTTTGAGAAACTATGGTGAGATGTTGCCACGTCAAGATACGTGGCTGACGTGCGTGTTACGTCGTACGCACACTGGACACATACACAGCATGTACATTTCGATTTAAAGCTTTCGTGACTGCAGGGATTCATCTTCTTGGTTCTTTCGGTAAAGTCACGTGACTTTACCGAAAGAACCAAGAAGACAGCATGTACACTTTAGTGAATGTTGTACACATACACACGTGCACACGTGCAAACGATTCATGCACACAATGGACGCATGCACAGTGGATATGTGGACAATAGTAGTGGATACGTGTGTGCAAGGTGATCACATGCATTACCACAGTCCTGATTGCATCCATGGTGTATTCATGTGTATGCAGTGGGATACGTGTTTGTAGGACAGCACGCGCACGGACACACACACAAATGGAGAATAGTGCACACGCACGCACACATGTAAGAGGTTGCAGTGAACGCACGTGTGTACACATGTAGGAGCACGAAATACACAGGCGTGTGTACACATGCGAGTACACACGTGGGTATGTCCACAGTACGAGTGCACACGCACACACGTGTGCAGAGGATGGTGCACGTACGTGTACACATGCAGGAGAGTGCACACAGAATGCACACGTCATGATGCACACACGTGTACACATGTTTGAGTGTGCACACATACACAGCGCTGCACACACACGTACACACAAGTAGGAGAGTGCGCAGTGTACACGTGTGCACATGTAGGTGTGTGCACACACACACACGACAGTGCACACACATGACGGTGCCAAGACAAAGATCCCACGTATAACCGGTGCGATGTGTAAACGTATGTTTACACATCGCACCGGGTACTCATCTGAGGCTGAGAGTGCACACACACACGACTACACACACACGACTGCACACACACACTACACACAGACGACTGCACATACACACACCTGCACACACACACACAGACGACTACACACACCCAGACGACTACACCCACACACTGCACCCACACACTGCACACACACACTACACACACACACTACACACACACACTACACACACACACTACACACACACACTACACACACACACTACACACACTACACACTACACACACACACACTACACACACACACCACACACACAGACGACTGCACACACAGACGACTGCACACACACAGTGCACACACACTACACACACACAGTGCACACACACACACCTGAACACACACCTGCACACTCACGCACAGTGCACACACACTACACACACACAGTGCACACAAACACACACAGTGCACACACACACATACACTACACACACCTGCACACTCACGCACAGTGCACACACACTACACACACACAGTGCACACAAACACACACAGTGCACACACACACACTACACACACCTGCACACTCACGCACAGTGCACAAGTTGCCGACACCCGCTCCTCCTCTTGCTCTTGGGCCCCCGGCCTCGCACCGTGGAGTTGCGTCTCTTCACTCAGCGCCGTGGTTGTGCCTCTCACGCGCGTCTCGGCCTCTCCAATTGTCGCTAATTGCTGCGGCTCCAAGCGGCTTCCAAGCGGCTGCTCCAAGCGGCTTCCAAGCGGCTGCTCCAAGCGGCAGCGGGAGGAAGACGCCGCTCACTGTACCTGGGCCCCAACGTCGCCGTGACGTCTCATGCACATCCGGGTCACCACGGCGACCCCACCACCACCCCTATCCCCACTACCATATTCAATATCCGGAGAGTTTCGATTTCATAGCTCACATAGGAGACGCCGAGCCAGTGGCCCCGCCCATCCGCAGAATTAGCATATTGAATGGCGCGGCCGTGTGCGGATTTCGTAGTGTGCATAAGGTGCCGAGCCAGCGGCGCTTATCTACACTAGCATATCGGTTAGCACGCCAGTGTAGATTTCCTAGTGCACATAACGTATTGAATACGCACGGGCTGTGTTGGATTTCGTAGCTCACACAGGAAGCGCGGATTTCATAGCACAATAGGCGTAGGACTGGCACCGTAGCGATGTGAACGTTGCATTGGCATATCATCAGACGAGGTCAGAAATAGGAGGAGGCTCTTTCTAGAGCAGCTCAATGAGTTTCAGAGACAATGCTCTCATTGTCAGAGCGTGTTTGCGTGGATGCATTGTTTGCACACAATTATGTTGTGGTTAATGCACCACTTGCACCTTATGACCCGGGGTTCCATAGTCTGTTGAAGGTCGCCGATGCGGCAATCGACTCATCTCGACGAGCTGTACACGATGCACTGTTCAAAGTAGAATTTTCGATAACGGATGTGTATGCTCATGTTTTGGCGTTTCGACATCGCGGAGTGTGGCACCACCGATGTCGGATTGATTGGGCACACCAGTCGCGGAGTTCAGTACACACCCCTGAGAAACAAAAGTGTCCCAGAAATACAATATCTCATTGTCTCGGCCAGTTTTGCGTTATTTGGTGACCCGGGGTACCGCCATAGGGGTCACTTGATGCCCTGCAGTAGGTATCTGTTTTATCTGTTTGGTGTTGGAACATCTTGACACCTGTTTTAGTGTCAGAAAGGGACAATCCTAATTTTTTAATCCTTTATATTAAGTTCACTTGCTTGCTTGCTTGCACGCTTACGACCGTGCAAATCTTTCGGTCGTTTTTTTAACCCACTTCCCGTGATCCAATCGAGCTGATATTTTGCACACAGACTCGTTGTGCGTGACAATTTATTTTCGTGAAATTTTTTTCCCATAACTTTACACTTTTTTGAAAAAAAAATTATATTTAATTACCAATTGCTTAATGATGGCAGGCAATCATCTGACCCATAGGTGGCAGCCATCTCAAGCCAGAGGACGAGAGGACTCTAGCCGCCACGCATATAAAGGATTTATAGTGAAAAACTTTGTTTTTACGGGTTAATTTTTTATTCTGTTCACTGTGAGCGTGTTTAAACATTGTACTATGATATGATATAGCAGGTTATTTATATATATGTATTAAAGCCGAATTTCCCACGTATTTACAGACAATGTGTGTTTTTTAGCCAGGAAAGCCTCGCTGATTCTCAGGACGCTTTACAAATGGGTCCTCCTGCCTTTGCAATTTTAGCCAATTCCACAATTTTCATTCCAATCGCGATTTTGTTAAACATTTCACGACGCAAAACATTTCCATTGGAAATATTTCAACGAGCAGTGCACCACCCTGTCACAGAATTGCCCGCAATTGGCACATAAATATTCCAGTGGGCCTCTTTGCACAATGGGTATGCACAGATGTTGCGTGACTTGACAAGAGTCAAATGTGTAAAGGACAAGAAAATTCCATCAAAACACACTCATAGTGCAGGCTGGGGGGGGACTTTAAAACAACAAAAAATTAGGGAAAAGCACACGGCTATTTGTGCGTCATGAAAAACCCAACAGAATTTCCTGACGAAGTGCATTGTCGTCTTCTTATCTTCGGTCACCTTGAAAATTATTTGAGCAAATGTGTCCCGACTAACAGTAGCAGTGGTGATAGACAATTGTGGAACCGTCTTTATTAGGACTCATTGGGGTCATCACCAATGCTCTCACAGCTGCAAAGTCTGCCTCTGGAAACCATATACACATATGTGGAGTCCTAAATTCCACAATACGGGGCCCAAATCAATTGCAGAACAACGTGAATCGCATTGCCCACCTTTAAGTTATTTTAATAATTTCAAAGGCATTGATTCAATCTTTTTATTTTCCACAAGCAAAACGATGGGAAGAAATTAATGTATCCAGTCGATGGCATCACAGTATAGCAATTAGATGCAGACCCTTACGTGTTGTGTTTACCATGCCCAGCCGTGTGTTAAACAAAAACATAAAGAAAGTCTCTTCCAATGCCCTAGCATTGGCGTCTGTTCACGAGGACCTCTCCACTCACTTGTGCGTCAGAGAGCTGTGGAAACATTTCTTTAGAATCTCATCTGCCATGGTGTTACACCCTTGCCAGTTGACTTGAAAAGCTTGCTGGCCAAAGCGTCAATTATTTATTTTTTCTTTAAACAAATAAATATGTTGTACTGCATTACGTGTAAGTGGAGCGACATTAGCGTAAACACACTTGGCTTATATTAATCCAGACCTTTGTGTGCCACATTATGATGTAAAATACCTTGGTAGTTTAAAAATAAGAATTGGTAACTCTTCCCCGTAGTTGTAATGAAGTTATTTCAGAAAACTTGGACCACTTGAAGCTTTAAAATTTTTCTGGAAATGTAATTTACACCCACTCCAAGTTAAGGTTATATGTATTTAGTTCCACGGGATGGAGTTGTAGCTCAGTGGTTGATCCACTACGCCATGAACCTGGTGACATGAGATGTATTCCTGGCCATGGCCGACATGAGTGGCGAGTGATATTTGAAGCGGTTCAGTGTGATGGACCTGCACTGACCAGCGTGATGAAGACGTTTTGTCAAACAAAGCTCAACACGACATGGTGAGGCCTTCACCCAGCTGTAACTGAGATATTTACAGTAATATAATATAGCATTATAATTTATTGACTTCCAGACCTACGGAGATAAGATGTCTGCCGGGCACTTTCCTGCACGTAGTGTTTATATTCCGTATTGTATGGGATGTGTGTGCTTTTAAGGAAGGCCTCTCAAAGGATAGGCTCCTCTCTGCAATGGACATTGCAAAATGGCTCAATAAATTTGCAAGCAGTATCTTAGGTGTTTGAGATCAAATCAACATTGGTGTTTGAGATCAAATCAACATCTGTCTCCATTGTGGCACTGAAACAACTGGCAATGCGCGAGATTATGTTGTGGTCAAAGGCTACAAACGTTGTCAATCTTATCGCCACCCCGTGACACAACATGCTCTGGCAGTCAAACAGCTCTGTTGACAGGGTGACAACTGTGGGGAGCCTCATCATTCACAGGCACACAAAATAATAGTTGGTAACTATACACTGCACTGTATGCTGTGCTTTGTTCATGGACAACAAAAGTATGTTACATATATATCAGTGGTAGTGAAAACTTTTTAGAACTATATAACTAACACTTAAAAATATAGATGTATTATTAAGTCAATCTTTACTATAATAACAAAACAATAAAACATCCATTCACGACATGGATCACGGTATTGACCAAACACAGCGTGTAATAAAAATAAAAGAGAGTATGGACATAATAAATTACTTATCATTAAAATATCCTGACCAACATCCAAGATGTTAGCAGCAAAGGAGAAAATGCCGTCAAAGGGGTCTTAATGACACAGTTTTGTAAATATAAATGTGTATAAAATCTACACGGTAACATACATTAGAACAATGAAACAGTTGGTGTAGCAATAACATGCACGGCTTGCAATTGGAAGGTCACAAGTTCAATTCCAGGTTGGGGGTGGCCCATAGTGCACTATCTCCCAAGGGTTGATAAACTGAACACCACTTAGTATAAAAGTTAACAGCGGTTGCCCTATGGAAAGACTTGGTCCCACCCTAGGATTGAAGAATTTCTACAAATGGCTTAAGGCTGTAAACGGGAAATGAGTACCATTCCATTTTCAGCAGGAAATTATTTAGACTTTCTTTTAAAGTCTCAATGTTGCAGCACTTGCCACATAGTCAGTTTTGCGGTCATTGGTTCAATACGGTCGCCCAATGTGTGTGCGTCATTGGCAAAGCATTTCGTCCCTTTGACATCAATATTGAAAACCGTGGTACATTGTGAAGATGATGAACCCAATATATGCTGGGGCTTTCGCCAAAATGCCGTATTTAAATATTACCCGCAACTGATTTGTGGTGAAATTGAGATCTATTCTTAGAAAACTTTAGTTACCCAAGTGCTAGTAAAAAAAGAAGGCTGCTTTTAATTAAATTTGATCGGCTTAAATAGGTTCAAGAAGTCATCAAAGCCAATGCCATTGACGCTATCACATTATGACCATTGCTCGCTGCTGATAGATTCAGCAGATGTAATTACATTAATTTATCAGGGAATGATACCAATCTACACGAATCACTGTGAAAGCCACAATGCCAGACTCATTTGTGGCTTCCATTCGCAGTCTGCAGCTAGCTCTGACGTTAAGCAGGGCTACTTTGAGAAAACATGTAAACACTAAATATCTACAACATTCCTAACAAATCATTAGTCCGAACTCTTTTTTTCAAAGGGGTGCTTAATTTTCAAGGGTCTTGTCGACTTCCTGAATCCTGTCAAGGCTGGTCTTGATTTTGACCAGGCTGCTTCTGTTTGTACCCAATCTCCAGCCTCTTGGGGACATGGCAGCCTAAGACACGATGCAGAAAGCCACAGCATTAATTGCATAGAGACGCAGATTGTCTCCATGACAAACAACAGAAAGGGAGCTGTTGTGACTCTGGCCACCTGTCAATATGGACTGCACCCAGTTTAGGTTGAATAGACACGGAATGGCAGAGGACGCAACCCAGGGCCCAACACAAACACAATTACGAAGACTGTTATTCTCCAGGCTGTGATTTGTTAAACATTTGCCTTTTTCCTCTTTTGAAATAATCCATCATTATTCAAATTATTACATGCAATATATACTGCATTAAACATTCTTCTATCTGTTTATTTGATTCCACATTTCTTACTGTTTAAAGGTGTTTTTAGTCTGCTTATT